TGAAATGCTACCAATACTGCTGCCCAGAAGGAGAGATCCATATACCTAGTAGCTGAATGGATTTACAGAAGGATGATCCTCATGTGGTTTCTGACTTTGGCAGTATATATATATAGTAGCTCCATTGTAGTAACGTTGGATAACATTCATTGAGGCACCTGTTCACCTGACTCTTGTTAATTATAGGAGAGCCCCACCTTAGCACCCTGTATAATTACATTGCAAGTCTTATACTTACTTTCCACTCATAAGACCTTTTGGTAGAAAGTGGGAAAATAGAGACTGAAAGCTTCAAATGAGTTTAGAAAATAGGTAGTCAGGCATCTTTGTTGTCATGTCTTTGTGGGTGGGAAGTTCTTTTTAAGCAAGAACAGTGCACTGGGGCTGGAGAGATGACTCAGTAGTTAAGAACACTGGCTAGTCTTGCAGAGGATCCGGGTTCAATTCCACATGGCGGCTAACAACCATCCATAACTCCAGTTCTAGGGAATCTGATGCCCTCTTCTGACCTCCATGGGTATTGCATGAATCAGATATACCTCTACATGCAGGCAATACACACATACACATACACAAAACAAATAAATAAATAAAAAGAACAGTGCACTGTATTGATGGGCCATGTCTACCAGTGTAACAGTTCCAAGATCCAGAATGTAGACAAATGCTCTTTGTCAACTAAGGGTATAAAGAAGGTGTTGACATGAATAATTGACCACATGCATTTTTCAGGGAAGAGTGACCGATGCCAGGATCTGCTGAAATAAAGCTTTAAAAGCATATGCATAACCGATATCTGGGCATCAGAAGTGTATGGGAGGTAGTGCATGTTAACCAGTTCTGAAACTCGCTCTGGAAGCCCAGCAGGGTGTGGGTGGTGGTTTACAGGAGCACTGCTGCTGGAATAGTAGACATGTACAGTAATTGTTGGCCTTTGCAGTCTTCAGTCAATCGCAAAAATGTGTCGGTCCTTCAAAGTTGTAAAAGAGGCAGAAGTATTTGGTTTGTACCTTATGTAACTCTTTAGTATAAAACTTTGAAGCAAGACTCAAAATTTTGATTGAAGAGCTAGAAAATATTTTTACATGATTGTTGAGTGAATGATGAGGGTTCTTAGGGTGGTGATAAACAGCTCTGGAGAGAGTCCTATCATACCTTGAATCCTGCCTGGTGTGACTGGCCACCTGTTTCCCAGATTTTCATCCATGTCAGATTTTGTTTTGTTTTTTCATTGTTGTGACCAAACACCTGACAAGAAGCATTTTAGCTCACAGCTCATGGATGTCATGGTGAGGAAGATATGACAATGGGAGTATGAGGCAGCTGATCACAGTGTATCAACAGTCAGAGAGAGAGATACTGGTGCTCAGCTCGCTCTTTTTTTTTTAAGATTTTGTGTGTGTGTGTTTACATTTCTTTACCGTATGTGTATATGTTGTGTGTGTGTGTGTGTGTGTGTGTGTGTGTGTGTGTGTGGCATGTGTGGGTGCCCATGGATGCCAAAAGAGGGTGTTGTCTCCTCTAGAGTTGGAATTACAGGTGGTTGTGAACTGGTAGAAACCCAACTCAGGTCCTCTGCAAGAGCAGCAAACATTCTTAACAGTCTTAGCTGTTGAGTCACCTCTCCAGCCCCACTTTCTCCTTTTTAGTCCGTGGAATGAGGTCCACATTTAGGATGAGTCTCCCATCTCAGTTAACCCAATCTACAAGTGCCTTCACAGGCCTGCCTAGAGATTTGTCTGCTAGGTGATTCTAGATCCTGCCAATTTGACAATCAGTATCAACCTTCACAGTAGGAAAGCCAATAAAAACAAAGCTGGTGGGCTAGGGGATACCATGAGTGCTGGGAGCCAAACCCAGGCCCTCTGCAAGAGCAGCCAGTACTCTTAAGCACTGAGCCATCCTCTCGAGGCCCTAAAATATTTTCTTAAATGAAAGCGTCAAGTAGAGAAACCAAGCAGATTTTAACTGAGCACTCTTTCCCGGGGTCCTTGTGTGCCTGCCCTATCTGGGCTTCGTTTATTTCACCTATAAAGTGAGGCCTATCGCCTTTTATTTCCCAACATCCTCATTCTACCCTTCCTGTCAGAAGCTGTGGTTCTCCCTCAACTTGGCAACTGTCAGCTATCCAGTTTCCTGCCTCTCACCTCCCTAACATCCGTCTTCACAGAGCACACTGACTTGAAGTTCACTTACTGTCTCCATCTGAACCATCTTGTTTGCGTGCTCCCCTTCTTCTCTAACTCCTCCCCATAAAGCAAGTGTCCTGGTCTGAGCTACACTCACAAGGCTGTGCCAACCTCCCTCACCTCCCGACCCTGTTAGCTCTGGTGTTCTGTTTTCTCTGTTGTCAGTCTCTGCTTCCTGAGCTAATCTAAAATGAAAGCCATGAAACATGATGTCTGGTTTTTTTAGCCCTGCCCCTTCTCTGTTGGGCCTTACTTAAGAAGTTGCTTAATTGGGACTGGAGAGATGGCTCAGTGGTTAAGGGCACTTCCAGAGGCCCCAAGTTGGGTTCACAGGACCCATGTGGAGTGGCTCACAACCACCGGCAAGTCCAGCTCCAGGGTATCCAAAGCCCTCTTCTGACCTCCGAAGGCCCTTCCACACATACACATACACATAAATAAAACTATATATTTAAGTCACTTACCATCTCTAGGCCAAAGCTTTCTACCTTTCTGGGAGACTGTATCTGTTTGCCTAGGCTATAATAAGAGGTACCACAAACTGGGTAGTTTGAACAGCAGGAGTTAATTTTCTCCCTCTTCTGGAGCCTAGAAGTGGAAGAGCAAAATCGGTGCCTTCTTGGGCCTCTTTCCTTAGCTGGTAGATGATGCATTTACAAGTCTTCCCTCTCTGTGTCTTTGCTTTACTGTCTTTTTATTAAAAACACCAGTCATATGAGATTAGAGCCTGCCCTAATGACCTCATTTTCTCTTAGAACTCCTTTAGTGACCTTATCTGTAATCACAGTCTGAGATGAGGTCGGGGTTAGGCTGTCAATGTGTGCGTTTGAGGTGACACAGTTCAGCTCCTGGCAGAGGGAGTTGTACTAGGTAATAGCTAAGACCCTTTCCAGTTGATTGAAATTGTATTTTAATTGAGGTTCTTCTCGCTCCTGACCAGTTCCACTCCCCTGACATGACTGTTTGGTGTTGTGGTAGTGTTGTCAAGGTGACAGGATCTAGAATCACCTAGGAAACAGACCTCTGGGCATACTCCTGAGGGGTTATCTGCTTAAGATAACTGATGTGGGAAGAGTCATCTTAATTGTAGGTGGGACCGTTCCCTGGGCGAGGGATCCTGGTAAAGAAATTGCTTTCTGCTGCTTGTCCGTGGATGCAGTGGACCAGCTAGCTGCCTTGGGCTCCTGCTGCCTCCATCTGGTAAAGAAATTGCTTTCTGCTGCTTGTCCGTGGATGCAGTGGACCAGCTGCCTTGGGCTCCTGCTGCCTCCACTTCCTTCCATGGTGAACTGAGCATTGAACTCTGAGCTGGAATAAACCCTTTCTCCCTGAAGTTGCTTTAGTCAGGGTAGTTTATCACATCAACAGGAGAAGAAACTAGCACGGTGCATATGTTTCCTTAATTTTTAATCATTTAATTTTAGATTGAGGTCTTGCTGATTTTCTCAGGTTGTCTTTAGACTTGCAGTTTCCAGGGTAGCTGGGATTACAGGCGCACATTACCTTGAGGGATCTCCTAACCTTTAAAACTCCTTTTTTCTTTTTCTTTGTTTTTTGGTCTTTTTGAGACAGGGTCTCCCTGTAGACCCAGCTGGCCTGGAGCTCACTATATAGACCAGTCTGGCCTTGAACTCACAGAGATCCACCTGCCTCTGCCTCCCAAGTGCTGAGATCAAAGGCGTGTGCCACCACACCCGGCACATGTACTGTTTTGAGCCAGGGTCTTACTGTGTAGCTCACACTGTCCTCAAACTCCTCCTGCCTTAGCCTCACTGGTGTTGGGATTGCGGGTGTCTGTCACCATACCTGGTTTCACATGTATTCTGGAAGGATTTAATAGAGTGTGTATGGAGCCAGCAACATGGCTCAGCAGGTAAAGGTACCTTCTGCCAAACCTATCAAGTTGAAATCGATTCCCAGGACCAACATGGTGGATGCCAAGAACCAACTTGGGGAAGTTGTCCTCTGATCTTCACACATACACGATGGCGTACATTCGTGCACACACACACACACACATACACACACACAATGTAATAAAATAATTTTTTTAATTGTATTTATCTAGCAGTAACTATAAATAGGAAATACATATAAATGGAAGAATAACAAAATATTAAATGGAACAAAACTGTACCTAGGAAAAGGAGGTTTAATTTCATTTTATTCCTATATAACTTTTTGTTGTTGTTCTTTATGGCTAAATACATTTACACAGCATTTTATAAGTTTGCCATTGTTGTTTTGAGACAGGGTCTCACTATATAGTCCTGGCTGGCCTGGAACTTGCTATGTACACCACGCTGGCCTTGAACTAAAAAATTCCAAATGCCTCTGCCCCCCAAGTGCTGGAATCAAAGGCATGTGCTACTATGCCTGGCTTTTATATAATTTTTTGACATTGTTCTAGTTTGCTTTCAATTGCTGTGACAAAACACTCTGACCAATACCAGCTTGGGGAGGAAAGGGTTTATTTGGCTTACATCTCCTGGGTCATAGTTCATCACCAAGGGAGCCCAAGGTAAGAACTCAGGGCAGGGGCTGGAACACAGGCCATGGAGGAATGCTGCTTACTGGCTTGCTCCTCTGGCCAGTGCTCAGCCTGCTTTGTTATACAATACATGACCATCTGCCCACTGTGGACTGGACCCTCCCACATCACTCAACCACCAAGAAAATGCCACACAGACATGGCCATAGGCCAGTCTAATGGAGGCAATTCCCCAATTGAGGTTCTCTCAATCCAGGTGTGTCAAGTTGACAACTAAATCCAGCACGGATGTATACGATAATTTTTTTTTATTCCCACAGTTGGAAGCTGACAAACTGGCTCTCCCCATGAGTCCCAGTCCGCTTAGCCCGAGCCCCATTCCCAGTCCCAACGTGAAACTTGAGAATTCTACTACTCTCCTGACGGTGGAGCCTTCCCCTCTGGACAAGAGCAAGGGCTTCTTCGTGGATGAGTCGGAGCCCCTTCTGCGCTGCGACTCCACATCCAGTGGCTCGTCGGCACTGAGCAGGACTGGCTCCTTTATTACCAAAGGTACCAGTGTCTGTGGGGCTCAAGGCCTTCGGTCTTGCCACTTCCACAGTCCAGCTGTAGCTAGCCATTTGAATGACCTGTTCAGGGAGACCTGTCCTAAACTCCAAGATGAGAGTAGCCTCAGGAAAGCTGAATCATTGATTAACCTGGATACACCTACCGAGAGCCAGCTTTGAAGCATACCCATCACCCTTTGGTCTCATGATGCCATCACATGTGTGTTTCAGGGGATGCCTAATAAAATGTAGTCCAGCAGGTTTTTGAAAATTATTTACCACATTTACTAAATCTAAGGATTAAAAGTATAACTCATCTTGAAAGTAAGAAGTAGTTTTAGTGTCTAAAATTGATCCTAAAATTCACTCTAAGCTAGATTGCAAATGTTTTAAGCATAGATGGGGAAGGAAGGGGGCGTTGCCGGGTATGTATAACTTAGTAGAGTGCTTGCCTAGCATACATCAAACTCTAAGTTTGATCACTAGCACTTCATAAAGAGGGCATGGTGGCATATGTCTGTTATCCTAGCACTTGGGAAGATAAGATTCAAAGCCATTCTTGCTACATAGTGAATCAGACCAGTTTAAAATACATGGAACTTTTAGTAATAATAATAACAATAATAGACTGGGTAAATAATTTTACGCTTTGCTTTTGGTTTTGGTCTGTTTTGTTTTGTTTTGTTTTGTTTTTTTATTGAGACAGGGTCTCCGTAGTTATTCAGCCCTGGTTAGCTTAGAATTCTCTTTGTAGCACTGGCTGACTTGGAATTCTTTCTATAGTCCAGATTGGCCTCCACATCTGTGTGTTGGACTCCTGATTCAGCAGCCACCACCTCCCAGCTCTATTATGCAAATCGTGTTTGCTGTCCTGTGCAAGTAAAGACCTTTATGTTTAAGATAGGCCTGAAATTCGCTTGCTCATTCACTCTCACTCACTCTGAGTGGCGCCTGCATAGGCTCAGAAGGCAGGCCGCCTGTCACCCACCCATATAGTCTCTCTTACCTATGTCCTCTTTGCTCCTGCAGAAAAGAAGGACACGGTGTTGCGGCAGGTCCGCCTGGACCCCTGTGACTTGCAGCCCATCTTTGATGACATGCTGCACATCCTGAATCCTGAGGAGCTGCGGGTGATTGAAGAGATTCCCCAGGCTGAGGACAAACTGGACCGGCTCTTTGAGATCATTGGAGTAAAGAGCCAAGAAGCCAGCCAGACCCTCCTGGACTCTGTGTACAGCCATCTTCCTGACCTGTTGTAGAGCCCAGAGACACCGCATTCTGGAAATCAACCTACTGGCAGGGTGGTTTTATTTTGTTTCTAATTTTTGTTTTTTTGGTGTGTGTGTGTGTGTGTGTGTGTGTGTGTAACAGTATATGGCCAGTGCTGAGTTCTTTATTTTTTTTTTGTCTTTGTTTTTCCCTCTTCTCAGAAATTACTTTATAAACCTTAAGGTGTAGCTGTTGCAAAATACCCACCACTAAAGTTTTTTTAAGTTCCACATTTTTTCTATTTTGCCTTCTTACATGTTTTCAAAATTGTTCTGTGCACTTTAACTTAGTGGAAATGCAGTGTGACTTTCTGCACACACTGGATTTTGAGACTCTTCTTTAAAGCATAATAATATCTTGTGAATTCTATACACAGACTGTCTTTCATACCCACACCTACTTTTAAAAAAATATTATTTACTCTTTGAATTATTGTTTGTCCTTTAAAGTGTTCTTCTTGAGGATTACGAAAATTTAAGTTGAGTGACTGTAATGCAATTAGTCTGAGTTATCCTTTCAATGTCTTGTATAGTTCATATTCGTGGCTGAAACTTGACCACACTATTGCTGATTGTATGGTTTTCACCTGGACCCTGTAGACTGCTTGATTACATGTGCTCATCTTAGCGCTAATATGCTCTGGGCTGGAGAAATAAAACCTTCAAGCCATCAGGACTTGCTTTCAGTGGCTTGACAGCTGGGCCACCAAAGAACTTGAACTTCATCTTTTAGTGACCGAGCTGCTCCGGAACATTTCTGCTGCACTTTGGAAAGCCAGCTTTGTGTGCCAGGGGCACCTTTTCCATAGAAAATTTACCCAGCTTTGCTTTAAAAGATGTCTTGGTTGTTTTCTACACACAGTCAATAGGTCCAGTTTACCCTCCAGGCCTTGCTGGGTCTCCATCAGTCACTTTAATTAAAAATGGCTGCAGCTGTAAGAACTTTTGTCTGATATATTTGCAACTATGCTCTCATTTATAAACCTGCCCTCTAATGCTCAATTGCCAGACTCTGATGCAAAGGTTGGGTGGACTCCCTTTGTGTGGGTGGGGTGGGTGGGTAGTGGAGAGGGACTGATATCAGAAAAATGCCTTCAAGTATACTAATTTATTAATAAATATTAGGTGTTTGTTACTCGAGTCGTTTGAGTGTGTTTCATCCCTGTGGTTATGTGCTCTGAAACCCCCAGACCAACTTAATCTGGAAATCATGCCAATTAGCAAAAGTCCTGTTTTGAAAAGTACCTGGAGATCACAGCCAGGGCTTGGAACCACACACACACACACACACACACACACACACACACACACACACACACACACACACCACCTTCTAGCATTTCCTAGTCTTGTTAAACCTTAGGCTCTTACTTCCTCTAGGTCACGCCCCAGGGAGGGGTGGGTGGGGCTGTTGGTGAGATGTTTCCTGTCCGTCACCTCAGGTCCCCCTGAGCTTGGGTGCAGCTCTGCCGAATTCTTGTGACTAGATCTTGGCACTGTCTATACACTGATTCCCCTACCCCTCTACCATACCCTGTCCATACACTCCCCACCCCCACCATATCCTGTCTATACACTGATTTCCACCTCCCCCCGACATATCTTGTCCATCCCACCATACCTGTCCATATACTGCCCCCCACCAAACCCTTTCTGTACACTGGCCCCCCACCATACCCTGTCCATACACTGTCTCCCCACCATACCCTGTCCATATACTGTACCCCCCCACCATACCCATCCCAAAAGCCGTTCACCCGACCCG